ATAAAATATATTTCTCTATTAAAGAAGTCAGCAGGTGAAGTATGAGGCACAGTGAAGGTTAATTACTTAACATAAAACTAGAAAATCATAGAAAGCTGTCATTCCACAGAAATTAATACTTATGCTCTACATAATTAATTAATTTTACTTGATAAGTGTACATTAAAATCATTTGTTTTTAATGTAAACGGCCTACGCCATTAGCTCGTCACTTATAGAGAAAGAGAGAGCATCATATTATAGAACTTCTATACAATAATAAATATTACTTTGAACACACTTTTATAGTAAAAGTTTTCGTATATGACTTTATATTAATTAATTATACCAATATTGAGATGTTTCATTATTTTATATAAACGTAATGTATTTTTTTATAATTTTTATAAAGAATATAATAAAGTTTAAATATTATCACATATATTTTACTTCAAGTAAATGTTGCAATATAATAAATAATAGACACCTTTGATCTTTTAAACATTTAATTTCATTTTCCTGAATTTAGTATCGATTTATACTATTTATTTTACTTAAACGAATTTTATTTTTTGTTTTTTGGAGCAATTACCAATTTTTCAATCTATATTAATATTTTTCATTCATGTAATATATCGATTTAACCTATAACTTCTCACTTAATTTCATTAATGGAAATAATTCCGTTTTATGTTTATAATATATAATAAATAATAATTCCATACTATTTCAACGTTTTAAGATTTCTAACGAAATCATGCTCAACTATTCAATTATTTGGAAATAAAAGGAGTGTAGCACAGTGATTCGGTTAGTAAATGATAAGATTTTTAATAGAAAATTAATTCAATTCAACAAAAGTTGTTAATTGCACTTGAGTAATATTTGGTTGTGTAGATGCAGTACAAGATTTTATACTTAAGGCTTGTGGAAGTAGAATTTTTATCACATTTTAAATTGTAATGAAAATAATTAGTTTGATGGAATTTAAAAATAATCAAAATAACAAAACTGCAAATTATAAAATTTTTCATTTTACTCATAAATTACAAGAAATGTGCTTTATATAATAAAATATTCTTTATAATTATCGTTACATATGTTTGTGTTATATATTATAAACAAATTATCCAATTTATTGTTGTAAAAGTAGTAATCTCCATAAATTATATATTTTTAAATTATAGTATATTTATTTTTAAATTAACTGAATATTATTAACATTTGTGTTGATAATGTCCCCTTATTAATATACAACAGTGAATTACACTTTTCTAATTTAAAATGCATAATAGTTCCAATGGAATTATTTTTTATGGAACCCATAGTAAACATTTTAACCCATCGCTAGTTTATTTTAAATCTTTATCAAATATATGGGACTTTATCAAATATATTTAATTTTAGAAAAGTTTTAAAATATTCTTGAATGGAGTTCAAGTATTAAGATTCCCAACAAAAATTTTAATTTATTTTTTAGTAATACAAAACAATATCATGTATAACAGCATTATATATTATATTTTGCTGAATTTAATTTAAGTGTTATTCCTTTACTTAAAATTATATAAGTACATTACAAGGCGAAATCTCTAGCAGTTTGTAATGTTCATATATCTATTAATTTATTTTCACTAAGTTATTTTCACTAAGTGTTTTTCTTAGAATTTTTGTGCACAATAACAAATTAATTACTACTAGTTTATTATTTGCGTTATTAGGATCATTTTATTTAAATGTGACAATCAAAACAATCATTATCTTTCACTATGTTCGAACCAAGTGTAAATAAATGCATTTTTAATACATAATATATATATTTTTATGTATATGATGTAGATAAAATTTTAATTTGTTCACATTACATTTTTATTTACTCTAATTTTAAGATATAAACCACTAAGTTCGCAATCTTGCAGTTTTATCTGAGTATTAGCACAGTGAACTTTATTGGACTAAGTGGGTTGGCAACCATCTTTCGTATATCTCTTAAAACATAAAATCTTTTATGTAGTCTTTAGTAAACTGGTTTTGACTACTATCTTTTTTTTAAACAACGGGATAAAAAAAACAAAAACCATGTTTCATTGCCATGTTTTTGAAAAATTACTACCATTACTAAAATTTTATTTAAAACTTAAGAATAGAATTTTTTACATAGGTATATAGAGACCCTATAGAATGTGTGTTATTATAATTGCGTGTTATTTATAACTTCTACCAAGAGTTTTGCCAAATTCTTGTAAATACTTATAAAATCATACGATAACATCAGAACTTCAAGTAATTTTAATTAATATAATTTAATCTACATATGATTAAATTTAAGAGTAATGCCTTTAGCTGCTCGTACCTTATTAAATCCTGTGTCTGTCAGAAACAGTTAAAATGGTTTCAGTTAGTTCTTCATTTTAATATTTAACTGATTACTATTTTTATACCACATTACCATTATTTTCTCAAATCGAGTTTACATTAAATCTTATTAAATATTTATTTTAAAGCCATAAAAAGCCATATTATTAAAGCCATATTTTGCGCATATATTCTTATGCTTATTAATACTTAGAGAAAGTTAAAGCTATCGTTATATACTTTCTAAAAACAGTAGATTTTATACTTTAGATCCATAAGTTAGCTTTATGTTCATTTGAATGAGGTTATCGAAATGATTGATCATTATTCCAAAGTTGGTAGATTTTACATTGCTTTCTTGAGATAAATTGTGTTTCTTTACAAGATTCATATTATATCTCTAAGATCACTTTTCTTGATAAATTGTAGTATTGAACCTACGTTACCGAATCTTTTTTTCCTTAACTGTTAAAACATGCCCACTAAGGTATTTCTTTTGTTTGTGTTACAGTGACGGGTAAACTGCTAGCAGTTATTATTCTTATAACACTCACAAGTCTTATCAGAGCAAGTTTCGATTTCTATAAGATGAAATTTCAACCACAAATGCCCTGTTAGAGTTTCTGTAATAATTTTTTAGTTATTTTCATTTATTTATTATTTATTTAGTTATCTTTAAATCGTTTTGATTGTATTTAATAATGAGAATGACATAAATTAGGATTGTTTTTTGTACAATAACTCAGTTTCCTTTACAACTTATATATAATAACCATTTCGTTACTTCTTAACTAGGTACTATTGTTTCGCTCACTGCCTCACAAAGTTGTCCTCATACAGTTAGCAAGTCAACTATAGTTAGATTTCTTGTGACCTAAAGTAGAACTTTAGGTCGGAGTTAGTTTTACATTAGTTTTACATTAAATCAATAATTATACTTTCTAACAAAAATAATAGGTAGTTAGGTATTTATTTAAAGTGATTTGTTATTCAAATAACAATTAAGTTATAATTAATTGTTTTATAATAAACATAGTGGTCATTTGCATTTGTAACTTATATGCATACTGTAATAGTGATTATTAGAGATTATTGAAACAAAGCAATAAGCATACTTTAGTTACTTGTTGTTTTATACAAACAACAACTTTTAGTTCTAGTAAAAGATATATTGTATGTCGATTACAATCCAAGTAAATTTCCCGCCTGTACAGCAAACTCTCGCATAAGGAAGCTGTGAACTTACGTCATTCTGAAACAATCATAAAGTATAGTATTCAGAGAAAGTAGAAAAGATATACCAGATTGCAACTCTAAGTATAATTTGTAATAACGTCAACACTGCTTTTCTTAATACAAACAAATTGTCTACGTTTACTTTTTATTTTGGTATTTATTTCCTTGTCTTTAAGTAATGTATTAATTAATATATTGTATAATATATGCAATGTTGAGCAAATTCTCATCTTATTTACAATATTTATAAGTCGTTTTTCTATTTTATTTAAATCAAATCTTTATTACATGCAAATTGTAAATACTTCCTTGGCAATATATTAAGTTCGAAATGTATTTATTACATATCAGTTTATAAAATAAAATTATTCAAGAATGTAAATTGAAAATAGTAGTGTGTGTTAATTAAAATAAAATTACAAATTCAATTTTATAAAATTCATAAGTATATGAACAGAAAATTTAGATTAAGTCCATTTGCTCAGATCAGTCATTTTAATAATTGCAATTTTCATGTAAGTTCCCAACGTTTAAAATTAGTATTTTTAACCATTATAATTATGAATGTTACATGTAAATATCTAACTAACTATCTAGCTTCTTGTTATATGAAATATCTTAATTCGAATATACATAAATTTCTTATATTTCTTAATGGCAAATATTCGTGTTATACTTAATTTTACTCAACTATTCAAATAAATAGTAAAACTAAACATGTTTCTTAATACAGTGAAAATTACTGTTTATGATAATTGTATAACACTTTTTACTATCATTGCATTTCAAATTGCTCCAATGTTTTAGTTAATAACTGGTTGAAAGAAATATTACAAAAAATTTTGTATCTTATAGTCAAAATCTACAATATATTACCTTAATAGTAGACATAATAATATTTATGTATTCAAGATATGACACATCACTTTTCATATCACCTGAGAAATTTTTGCAGAAGTATTAGAAATGTTGAAATTTATAAATTAATTAATTGACAAAAATTGCTAACTATTAAAATATGTTACATTTTTAATAACCATTTACAAAATTTCATAAATATTGATATTTGATAAAACTATAAATAATTTTACAAGCTAAAAATGTTTTAAAGAATTTTTTCTTTCTAACAAAAATTGCATCTCTTTCATTATAATTGCGCTAAAATACGATATAATCACTTTTATCTCAATGTTTCCTTGACATGCAAATTTCTCATTTTCTATCTAAATATTTTAATAACCATTTTTCCAGATATAAGTTTTGTAATAAATTTGTCAACTGCAATTTTCATAATTACTTATTCCAAAATTCGCAAATAGTCTACTGTATCTGTTAAAATGTATAATTACGAGTATATAATATACAATATTACTAATACAGTTTAGTTTTTATATAGTAATTAAAATTTTTTTTTAACTTTTATTTTTCAGATCCTCGATCGAAACGTTTTCCCTTAATGGAACATCCTCTGTACACTTTTGGTCTTGTTGGTATTTATTTATCGTGGGTTTTAGTGATAGGACCATTTTTCATGCGCGACAGAAAACCTTTCCAACTACGACGTACCCTCGTTATCTACAACGCATTTCAAGTAGCGCTAAGCGCTTACATGTTCTACGAGGTAAGCTCTCTACACGCGAGTATCTGTTAGATAAATTAAGCAAAACTATATTTATAATATGCAAAAATTATTTAAATAATTTATTTATAATTTATGTTCTTTGCCTTTCTTAGCACTTGATGGCTGGTTGGTTAAATTATTATAACCTGAAATGTCAACCGGTGGACTATTCAGATGGCCCCATGTCAAAGCGGGTAAGTTATTCATTAAGCACTTATTATTATACATCTCTGAAAAAAAAGTACCAAATAAATACGAGTAAGCATTTAAGCTTATTGCATAAGAGTCGTCGAACAACTTTTGTTTTTAACTTAGCCAAGTAACAAGTAACGATTCTAGGCGGAAATTCGCAAGCTTATCATATGATTTCAATATTGTGGTTCTGACTGGTCTCCTAACTGGTGATTTTTTGTTTGGAATTTCTGCACGAGATTGCAACATTTCTTGCCACATATTTTCATGGTCAACTTGTGTGCGGATTTTTTCTTTTACTTTTATCTTTTTATCTGTTGAGTCTTCGACAAAAGCATGTTTTTTGGTTAAAAAGTAAATCTCTTTTGTGCGATACATTGACTATAAATATTCAATTTCTTTATTGTTGTTATTGTTGTTGTTGTTGTTCATGTCAAATTGTTTTTGGCAATATTTTGCTCATCAACGGATTTGGTTTGAATTTCAGTAAAAGTCGTTTCGTATTTTTAATTTTGCTATTTTGCAAACAATCATTCGATTATCAAATTATTGCTTTGAATTGATCTGAAACCAGTCACATTTGCCGGTGATAGTAAATTATTTTTATAAGCGTGTCTGGCTTTCATAGATAAAATGATTCAATTTTATTATCAGACGAAATGAGCAGATTTCGTGTATTTAAATTTCGCAATATAAAAATTAAAATAAAATCAAGTTATAAAGATTCTAATTAAATTTCGCATTTATTTTTGAATATTCGCAATATGCAAAATTCTTAATTGTGTCTAATTATATGTATAATTTATGAAAATTATAATACGTACATTATACTTGATCATTTAAAATCCACATAGAAATAAAGAAATGAAACATAAATCATTTTCAGTTGTTACCTGCTCAACACTTTAAGCATTAATGAATTTGATAGACTGAGAATAATAATTCTAATAATTTATTAACAACAAATCGAGATTTTATTAATAAATATTATTATTAAATGCTCATATCTTTATAATTTAAGTTCAAGTAAATTCCAACTTAAATAAAGTGAATAAAATCTGCTCAACACTTTAACTATTAATGAATTTGATGGACTGAAAATAATAGTTTTAATAATTTATGATAAACAAATTGAAATTTGATAATAAATATTTTTATTAAATGCACATATCTTTTTAATTTAAATTGAAGTTCCAACTTAAATATAGCGAATAAAATCTTTGGCAAATAATACAAATTAGTGATGTCGATACGCGATAAGTAATTAATTAATAATATTAATTAATGTGTTTTTATTTACTCTTCAGAAAATTTTAGTTTTTATCTCAAACAACTGAGTACCTTACATCATTAATAAAAAATAACATAATTATATATACATTGTACATAATTAATTTACCTTGTGTTTACTTAATAAGTACATAGTAGTAATATACAGTATATTTTGTTTATTGTAAAATAATCAATTTTTTATTTCTATTATTGTTATTAAAAGAACTTTACATCTTATCAAATATTGCAAAATTTTTTCACTCATACGACTTGTAGAATATATTAAATTATTATTGCTAAATTAAAATTATTGCTAAATAACAAATTTTTTAATTGGTTGAGTTTGATTAGTTGTTTTTATTTTATTATTCATGAATAAAAATTTATTACTTAATTAAAAAGTGTTTTACATTTTTTACCATTAATTTCACTGTATGTAGTAGTAAAATAAACATCAAATTAGATTGTTAGTATAAACTCTGGGGTTTTTTTTTAGAGAGACTTCTAATTTCAACAGACATATTAATAAATTCAAATGTTATTATTAAAGAAACATTGTTATTTACTTCAATTTACATAATTATATATTAATAAAATTTA